AGAGAGAGAGAGAGAGAGAGAGAGAGAGAGAGAGAGAGAGACAACGATCTGGTATAAACCGAGCCAGAGACCCACGTATACACAAAATGCTAGAGACAAATATGTAGATGTAGGCTCCACAATGTGCATCCGATCTGAATGACTGTTCGATGTTGTATATAGATTTTTGTGTGTTTCATATTTGTTCGTGACGAATTTTTGCTGCTCATTTGGCAAAAGTAGCCTGTACTGCTGTTGCTACTTTGTCGGTCGACCTGCTAATGAACAAATCCACTAGGCACACACGCTGATAATCCCCATGGCATTTGTAATGATTGAACAGGAACAATAAAAATTATCACTCATTATTATTATTATCATCGTTCAGATATCGGGTCGGTATGTTTTTGTTCTGACTACGTTTACCTATCAGATTAAACAGCCAGAGAAAATATTGGATAGCAAAGCGTTTAAACAAACACGAACGTGTATCGAATAATATGGTATTTGAAACGGTATTTAATTTACAAACACACCAAATTGGCGAGTGTGTCTGTGTGTATATGAAATCGCATCGACGGCAGCTGCCTTTCAAATAGAAAGAAAAAAAGACAATTCTATTTAACATTCATTACGTCACCGAGTTTGTTTCAAGTGGGTGCTGCATACGGAACACACCAATTTCTGAATATCATTAGTCTTCTGATCGTTCATATTTATATAAAAAAAAATTCTATCTCTCTCTGTTCGATTGGGCATTGTTCGTGGCATCGTACCAATTTTCAAGTCATCACAGATCAACAGCCGACACTTGGAATTCGTCGCGCATGCATTCGAACGGGCTTAGTGACGAAGTGAACAATGGCATAAATTGTATTCATTGGCATGGCCACTGAAATGCGAGCAAGACAGAGAGAGGATTGGTGATTCGTAGACAAAATGGGAAAAAATCACTCGATTCAAACCATAAAGATGTCAACATAAATTGGTTTCTCAGTCGCACGCATTTACATTCATTGTCACATTTTGTTCTTCAAATTCGATTGTCGTAGGCGCGTTATATACCTTTTTGATGCTTTTCACCGTATTCGTCAAGTTAAATTTTCGTGAATCTTCTGCAGATCACCACGAAATTTCCACGAATCATTGTTTGATTCATGGCGAAATCGAAAACCTGACTAATGCGTGATTTATGTGTCACGAGACAATTTCGGGTGTTCAATTTTATCAACACTCAAGTTTAAAGTCGCATTTTATTCTGTCGCTTTATTTTTCTCTTCGAACGGTAGGCTCAAAAGAACATTTGTTTTCTCTAAAGACCATTTCTCAAAATGGAATTTGTTAAGAATCACAAAACTATTCAGTGAGTCTGTAAAATGGAACAGAAGAAAATAGAATAGAAATCAGCCGTCTCGCACACAGGAGCGTTTAGTTATACGTACACCGTTAGTGAAAACGAGAAAAAAAAACGTTTGGTTGTTATTCACACGAATGCGATACGCGTATTTTTGTCTGTCTGAAAAGAAACGACAGAGAAGATGACACGCCAAACATTCGGCAGTCGAATCTGCTTAATCTCAACCATTCCTCCAGTGTATGCGAGAGTAGTTTCTCTGTCTAATTATAGCGCACACGGACCTTTTTTTTCACAAAGCTCACACACAAATGACGACAATTTTTTAAACGCATCAAAATATTTCGTCTGTTGTCTTTTTTTTCGGGCCCCGCGAATACAGTATATGTATGTGCACGCGCGCGAGAACGTGAGTGAGTGAGTGAATAACCCGTATTTCTATTTTGATGGTCTGTGTAATGTATACCTTGTTCAGTTATTTATGGGCAAGGGAAAAATCGTGACTCTATTCTTTTCGGTTCACTTGTAATTGTAGCTCACGCTTCTCTCTCTCTCTCTCTCTCTCTCTCTCTCTCTCTCTCTCTCGCTCTCTCTCTCTCTTTCTCCTGTCATTTGTTTTCAATGCAAAAGGCGTCGGAATTTCGGAAAGAATGCGTATGTTGTCAATTTCAAAACCGAAAACCAATGTTCCAATGCAGCAAGAATATTGGCGTCGAAGCAAGAATATTTCAAACTCTCAGTCACTTTCATTTGTCTACGATGGATTCAATGAACTTTGACACGATAACCCGCAACTAAAAGAACAACTAGCAATGTAATTGTTGTCCCATTTTAACCACCAATTGCAAGCAGTAAGGAAAAAAGTCCAATTGGAATAAAAAAAATGGATTGTCTTATTAGCAATTGTATACATACGCACCCGCAAAGAAAAAATTACGCACAAAACCGTAAAATCACAACCAATTGTATTCTGACAAACAACTTTCATTCGGCGGCCCAAAAATCAATTATCGTTAAACATAAAAAGGCCGATGGAGAAAAAAAAATGATTTAAATCAATTTTTGTGACCTTTATTTCGTTCACTGACTCAAGAAAAAAAAACGCACTCACACAAACACAAAAATGAATGAAACAACCACAGCCGAATTTATTTCTAATCAATCAAAAACAATAATACAGAAGAAAGCCGACTTCGAATATATATATTTTTTTAATACGTACGGTTCGAATTGATATCAATAATTTTCAAACGCACTTGAATTAAATTTCGATCTTGTCTTCGTCGCGAATCCGTTTTTTCGCCTTCTTTTTTCTCAACTTCAATATTTTTGTTTTCTAACAACACTAAATTTTGGTATTATTTGTCAAATGCACCACATTTCCCGAAAAATATTTGCGTAATTAGCAAAATTTTCACACTTTTTGGACGTTTTGTTGATTTGTTTTTTGGTGGTCATGAAGTCATCGACGATTAATCAGGGAACAATCGCACAGACCACAAACGTTCTGTTCCACATTTTTCGTCTCACTGTCGCGGTGTTGCGTGCGACGAGCACTCACTATGCCGTAAACCGCTCAAACTGAACGAACACACAGTTCTGTGGTGTTTTTTTTCTTTCTTCCTATCTGGTAGTTAAAATACACATAAAACTACGCCTCAATACACACTCCATTGTCTTTGGTATCGGTCTAACTGTGCCTGTGTTGGTATGTTAGGTATGGTGTGTATGGTGTGTATGGCGTATATGTGCGTGCATGAGCATGTATGTAAATGTCATAGAAATACGTATTCCGCCATATTCCCCATTCTCAATACACTCTCACGTATCGTCTGTCTGGCTGTGTGTTTGTTTTGCTTTTTTTCGTCATTGTCGACGTCTTCGTAATATTTCGCCTCTTTTGTCGTTCCCAATCAATGAAGATAAGAATGTCATTTGATTCTAATTTTACCATCAATTACTCGAATTAATTTTCTTTTAATTGCCCATGATAAAACTTTGTGTTTTTTACCGCATCGTTCAATTTTTTAATACAATGTTTTGTTTACATTCAACGTCTTCAACCCATTCAATTGTGCAACATTACGAAATGTCAACCGTTAAGTCTCGTTCAGACGCTCAAGTTTTTTTTTGTATGTTATGAAAAAATACGTAATGTTTATGTGTGGAAATTACGTTACTTCATTGATTTTGTTATCAATGAATTTGAAATGTGCTCATTCAAAATCACATCACGTTCGTTGAATGAGTCGATGAATGAATGATGCGTTGAAATTTTAAAACCATCAAAAAAAAAATTGGGTCGTTTTTCATTTCGATAAATTGCAAGTGTTGGAATTCCAAATGAAGCATGGTAAAATGATGACAAGTGTTGGATTCGACGCAGTGGCGCGACAGTTCATTTGTTGCTCTCTCTCATTGAATGTCAAGCGTGGGCAAAGCATTCGTTTCGTTGATAAGAGTTGTGTATTGAAAAACTTTGACTTCGCATCAGACGGGATTTCATGTTGAATTGCATCGACCGTTTTGCGCTTCGCATTCGCACAGTTGAAATATGTATGAGCGTCGGTGAGAGCTGCTTGTGAACAGAAGACAAACGCTCGTACTGTTACCCCACACACGTCACGACGAGCTTTACTACTAACGCTTCGGAATGAGTGTAGCTTTGTGTTGTGCCGTGCGTTCGCATGTGACCAATGCGCGAGCGATGTACAACACGAAGGTGTCATGCCAATTTTCTTTATGGATTTTCTCCAGTTCTCCAGTCTACAGCCATGATTTGATACAAACTGACAGAAACACCATTCGATACCACTCACACACGACACCAATTTTTTTTTTTACTTTTCATTTAATTTTAACAACAAGATAAAAAAGAATAATTTCGGAATAAAAAAAAAATTAAAAAGAAATGTAAGGACTCAATCCAACGACCAAATCGAGAAAGTGTAGTGAAAAAAGAATGAATCATAAAGTAAAAGTTTGGAGTTTTGTTTGAAATCGTGTCGAGTGCCAATTATTCGATGGGAAAATGTAGAAAAATTCGCATCGAATCGATAATGGGACAAGGCAAAAGACTCAATTATATGTGTATTTTTCTACGTTAAAAAGTAAATTTAAACGAAAAAAAAAGCGGAAATTTTCAATTCGAGAATTGACGCAACGGCAAAACAAAACATCCATTTAATACGCATTTAAACACATTGTGGTTTGGGTGCGTAAAGAAAAAGTGAAACCAAATACAAAAATACATATAGTCTGCGACAAGAAAACGGAGGCAAATGCCGTTTTAGTGTAACCAAAAAGTGCAAGTACAGAAACCAACAAAATTATTATGTTTTTTATTCGTGTCCGTTCCCATTATGTTAATCAAGCTGATGTGGAAAAGGTACCACTAACATTCACATACATCCACATTTACTCTTACTCTTTGTCTTTCTCTGTCAATGTTTTTGATTTCAACATGCCGTTTGTTTCTTCATCATCTGTAATTGAATTTTGCTATCTCGACTCTTCTCTCTAGTTGAATTGTCCATTTCAAGTATGTAAGTTATTGTGGAGCGAAAAGGATTGCTTTTGCAATTGCGAGTCAAGTGCAATCAGTAAAACTAAACATTGTAAAGATTAGAAACGAATACAAATAAAGTCAATAGAAGTCCTTCATGTCAAACACAAAACACAACACATCACACATTCACACACACACACACGTCATTCGATATAAATCGAAAGTTTTGCAATGTAATTAAGTGAAAGCGTCCTCTTTATTCGACAGATAATGAAGTTACTTTTGTTCACACACACACACACACACACACACACACAATTCGGATATGAACGGTTGAATGGAACGAGTCACTTTGGATTTGATTTCATTTTGTTGGTTGCTTCCGATTTCAACTTGAAAGTACATGCTATCGTTAGTGTTCGTATGTCTCGCATGCACTTAAGACCTTAATTTGATTTGATCTGCTGTTTCGTACATGCTTTTTTGCCATTCCGGTTCAAGGCCATTAAAAAAAAACCGAAATCTTTTATTCATTACACGGACGTCCATTTCGATTTTTATGCGAACTATTCCATCGATTTTTATCTTTGACGCTACTCAATCTGACGAAAGAGCAATCGAAACAGACAGAGAAAAAAAAACCATACACAAAACAAGTAGTATGAAATTGTAACATGTAAAACATGCCTAATGGAAAGAGAAGTGAAGCCAAGTCAATGTTTGTGTTACAACAGTTCATTTATATCATCGTTGGTTAGCTTCAACAGCAAGGCGTCTAAGACGGCGGATAAATTGAGTATTCTATAATGATGATGATGATAACGGTTTTTACGTTGAATGTCAGCTTTTTATATACTCAACTAGAAATAGAATGGATGTATATGGTGAAGGAGGAGAATCAGCTTCTGAATGCACACGTGAAGACCAAAGCCCACGCGTGACTCGAATTATGTGTGGAAATACACAGCTCTTTAGCGTTTGAAAATCAAAACGATCCGCACGCATTTTTTGTTATCGTCGTCGTCGTTGTTGTTGTTGTTGTTGTTGTTATTGTCCTCTTTTTCAGTACTCACTCTCTCCATGTCACGATATATAAAAGCAGCACGCTAGAGTGCTATCAATCAAGCGAAATAATGTGAGGATTCCAATTATTTTCCTTTCTTCGTTTGTCATGAATCGTTGGTTCGTTTGGGTCTTCTGCTTGCAAATTGATTTATCGGAAAACAGTTGCTAGGAAAATATGTCTTGCATTCAGTAGCAGCGTCAGAAGCATCATCAGCAGCATCTATACGCAGTGGACCATATTTGCCGAATGCGCTCAACTGTTCATTGGAAAAATCGAACGAATTTCATGTCATTTACCATTTCGATGCAAGCAAAATAAAGATTTTTTTTTCATTGGCCATAGGAGAAAGATAACAACGAGAATATCCTTAGACGAGATATTCTTGACCCAGTTTTCGGTTCATTTTACGCCAGATGCTTTTCAAGCCAAAACAATTTTTATTTCACTTCAGATGACAATATTGGGCATTGTTATGAAATCTTGATCACACAATAAAGTTCATAATTTTTCCACTATTTTGGAGTAAAAAGTTTTCCCCTTGAACGTATTATAGCCACAGCGCGGCCAAATGTCGTTTCTCACATCGTGCGACGGTTTTGTGAACGGTGAGGGCTCAATTCACAAAATCCCAATAATGTTTAATGAACATCGCCTAAATTGCTCCCACACCCAACATCCCGTGCGCAAAATATGATGTGAGCGAACGAACGAACGAGCGACCGACACCGAGTGCATTACCGTTTTGCGTGGTTGTTGTATCACGACTTTTGACATTTTACAAAATGGAATTTTGTACATAAATTTGCATGCGTACACTTTCTTTGCCTGATTGTTCATTCGTTCGCTCGTTTGTTCCCTTACCACTTTCACCTAATGGAAAATTACATTGCGAGTATGCTTTTTGATGGCCTGCAAGTAAATGAATTTATTTATTCGAGTTGATATATGACATTAGTAACCGAGTTTCATATGCATGCTCTCCTTTTTTTGCTGTGCAAAACGATTTTTCCCAGCCATTTCCATCATGGAAATTAGTCGAGTCATTACACCGTTTGAATTGAACCAAAATCAAATTATTACTCACTCACTCGCTCGCTCTTTGTCTATTCATGGCTCTGTGTGAGTCGATGTCTGTGTCTCTTGCCATTCTGAATAAATTAGTTATCCAGTTATTTATGCTTGTTCAACACTAATTCTCTGAAATCGTCAACAACGGAAACATGATGAAAACGATTTTTATGCGATGAGCGTCACCATTCCAATTCAATTTGGTCGTTTAAACGCTTCAAACGATCAGGATGCCCTTTGTGTAGGATCGAAATTTGTTGCGCCATGAATTTTGTCAAAGTTGAAAAGCTTCTTTGTATCGTTGCCATTGCCGCGGTCGTCGTCGTCACATATGCGGTACAGAGTGAGTGCATAACAATCGAGTGAAGGGTGTAACGAACTCTGAAGAGTAATAACGAGACATTCATTTAACTTCATTTGCATTTCCCCAATGGCCGACAGTGACATTTGCTCCAACGGTATCCACAATACTTGTATCAAATTCCATGATGAGTTTCGATTACAAAAGCTTCTGTTGTGGTGGTGGTGATGGTGGAAAAGAAAGAGATTCATGTAAGGAATAAAAAATATATGAACAAGCAATGGCTTCCCTCATCTTTTCTTGCGGATTATATGAGATTGCTTTTGTCATAACAACGAATTTTCAGTATCGCTTACACAAACATTGCGAATGTAAGGCATTTTACAGTTTGTCGTTCCTCCATTAATATTTCAGCGTATTCTGAATTTCGCCCACGACCTCTCTCGTTAACCTTTGAACGAAGAGAAGCATAAACCAACCACCTGAATTATTTTAAAAGGCGCAGGATTTATTCGAAAACATTGGCCCACGCATAATTTGTACCATTTAATATATCTGTTTTCCATTTGCCTAGCCAAATGCACAAAGCACATAAATGTTGAAACGCCTCGCAATTTATAAATTTTTCTTCTCACTGTATTTCCAGGGGAAATCATAAATATATACATGGAATCGAGTGTACTGCAATGATTTAACTCCGCTGGCATTCGTACATCCATTTCATATCAAACAAATCTCTTTCTCATAAATAATTCCACTTGTTTGAAAGGAATGTTGTGTTTTCCCTATGTCTGTTCCATGTTGACAGGATAGCTTTTCAATTAAATTTCATCTTTTGCTTGTGATGACATAAGCACACTTGTTACTTGAACCTTTTTCCAATCAGAATCGCCCTTTTTTGTACAGGCGCAACACCAAAGTGCTACGAGTACGGTATAGAATGGAAACAAAAACAAGCTAATGTCGTTCGTGTACCTTTCAATTGATGCCATTTACTATCATCGCTGCTTCAATCAAGTTTAATTTACATGAAAAGCAACAACCGATCGAGTGGAAGAAATATTTTTTTTAAAAAACAGAACACTTCAAAGGGAATAGTATGGGAGATGGGATTGGGAGAGTGAGCGAGAGATAAAATTCTGTATCCAAATCCTTTTCAGTGGAATCATTTTTCTCTCGCTTCCTCTCTCATTAATGTTATCAGAAACTGTGAGTAATTTCTTCTCATGTAGTTTGTGCAGCATCTGCCCTATTCAACAATAGTCGGGATAAGGTCTTATATAACAATCAGGCGTTCGCACGAGTGCTCATCAAATAGAGCTCGTAAACGAAAGAAACTCATTATTTGGAGCGGCACAGAGAGAAAGAAAAAAATACCGAGTACCAACAGCAGCGAATCGCCGAGTGTGTACTCAATTTTCCCATCATCAGCATTCGTTGTGTGATATTCGTCAGTGCAACATTCACGTCGCTCGCTTCAACTCTTCTTCGGTTCGCTTATAGTTTGTGTGTGTATGTGTGTGCTTATTCATCTCCAGTGTTAATCCAATTTTCGGTAGAATCTCAAGAAAATTTGTATTTAACCAATTTTTCGTTACCAACTCAAGGACTCTGTTTTGTTGGTGGTGGCGGTGGCGTGTGTAATTTCAACGGTTCCAATGTGCTTATAAAGTTTAATTCATTTGATGATAACTGTAAACATAGCAATACTAACAAATGCTACACATTCACTGCGTTTAATTTTGTTTACGAGCAGCCGTTTTAAAACCACAAGCAAATCAGATTTAAGCTTGTCATTTTGGCACTGTTTCTTCTGACCTGTGAACAAAGTGAAATTTATTGCGACATATGAACACCAAATGCATTAACTCATTCAAGGATTTTCATTGGCATAAATGGAAAATGTGTTTTTTTTTCGGTTGCGACGTAAATCGGCCAAATTTTTGTTATGAAACCATTAGAATGGCCACAGAATGCTATTTTTGTTCACCGGATTGAAATGACGTGCGAATTTAAATACGTTCAAACTTGCTTCAAGGCAAAAAAGTTCAACAAGTTGAATCGCATCGCAACGCAACGCAGAATTATTGGAGGAAATAACACCCTCTACGTCACTTCAAGCACATTGCTGTGCCATGGTTTGCACGATAAAACCAAAAATTGCACGACAGGTGCCAAGGTGTTGCAAAAAACATGTTAAATGAACAAATTCCAAAAGCATTAAAACTTACTTTTCAAACTCGTGGAGAAATTTCATTGTTGCTTTTGTTGTCGATCGTCGAACAAAAAGCGTTGCACTATTCTTGAACGTTAAATCAATTGGAATCGAAAAATTAAAAAAAAACTATTTTCCAAACATTTCACAAATATTAAGACTTTTCTCCGTCGTATCGATCGGAAACGATGACGTATTTTATCTCATTTTAAATTATTTTCATCTCGTTCGCGTACCGTAAATAATAAATGTTACCATTTGCTTGCTTTGTAGGTCTAACGAAGTGATTGAATGCCTATAGAGTAGAATTCATATTTATGCATCCGTTTGCTGATTTTACAAAGCCAAAACAAAAATAAATCAAGTATTTTTACTACTTTGAATACAAGTATATCAAGTTGTTATCATAAGAATTCATAAATTATAATTGAGCCGTATTTGAACCAGGGGAATTGATACCACCTATCCAAATAAACAATAATATATTTCCAAATTACTTGAAACGCATAATGAAAATTGCAATTAAGAATTTTAATGCGATTAAATCCACTTGAATTGGAATGAATCACTTGATGGTATCTAACCTATGGACCCTAAATCCTCTTAATGAATCCGTAGAAAAACCGAAATCAAGGATAAGAGCCAAAAAAAACACACACACACACGAAAAACAAGTAATTTATAAAAAAAAAGAAAAAATGAGTGCCTTCTTTAGCTCCATCAAGAGTATGGTCGATAATTACGGCCACGGAATAATTTCAATACAAGGTAAATTTGAGCTGATCTACTAATTTCACTCAATTACTTATTGCTCCAAATATATCAGCCGTAGGATACGCTTAAAAAGAAAAAACAAAATCGAATTAATACGAAAAACACGATCGGAATTATCGCAAATAACCTTGATTTCTTTATTTAGACCATAGATAATGTGATGATGTATATTTTAAAAAAAATTCAATTCACGACTATTTGAAATGAAAAATCATCAATATTGGAATGATGCACCGCTTGGATCGACTTGTATTTGTCCTGCAACAATAAAAAAAATGCACACAAAAACAAGACATTTCTTTTTCACCCAACCATATTTGCATTTTACCATCTCATCACTTAAAAAACGAAACCATTTCCGCTGTAGTTCCATTCAATTTCTATGCGTTTAATGGATTTGTATCCGCTATCACTGTCCCAATCGATAAATCAATAAATCACCGTGTATCTGATCTAAATATGAATTTCAGTTCAACTTGAAGACATGAAATTTGGGTTGATGCCATCAACAACACCTTACACAGACCCCTTAACCGCATCCACAACACCATCGTCCACCTCGCCAAATTCACGGAAAAACAGTTGCAACAACAACATCAATAACAACAACAATAATAATACCATAAATATGTCAATCAATGCATTGAATGCGACATCCGATTTCAATCAATGGCTGCATGCAATGAAAATGGTTGCACGCCTACCCGGAGGTACACCGTACAAATTAATCCGTATAGAAATGAAAAAAAAAGTAAACCATTATTAAATCCTATAGGTACACCACCCGAATTTCGGCGCAAACTGTGGCTTGCGTTGGCTGATCGCCATCTGCACACCAGCGGCATCGATTGGAACAAAGAGCAAACGAAATGTCTATCCAACGAAACGTGGCTCGATGACGACGAAGAGTTGGGCATTCAAATTGTTAAGGATTTGCATCGCACAGGTTCGAGCTTATTTTCCGGCCCAAACGGCAGTATTAATCAAGCTAAATTGAAACGTGTACTGCTCGGATATGCACGATGGAACCCAGAGGTTGGATATTGTCAGGTAAATATAATGAATTTGCTTCTTTCAATCTTTCATCTATATGAAAATTAAGTGAAATTAAATTATACGATAAAAAGAAAGGCAAAATTGTATCCGAAATATGGTTCAAGCAGAGATGACTTTAGCGCGCCCGAGTATTTGTGTTGTTTTTTTTTTGTTTTTTCTTCATTATACTTTACCATTTTGGTCAAAAAAATCTTTGTATCAATATTTTGTGTAATATAACAAAGAACAGTTTTTGAAAAACCACATTTATATTAGTAAAATATGAAGAAAAAATCTCCAAAAGTAGAAATTGCGTAATATTGCGAAATCGAGCCAATGCGCGTAATTACTAGGTGCATATGACCACACAATGCGAATACCGGGGGCAGAAAATGTAAGCTCTTCTTCGTTATGTTAGACAAAATATTATTTTAAACAAATCCTGGTCAAAAGCTAAAGTAGAACGAAAAACAACAAAAATACTCGGGTGCGCTGTAGCGCACTTGAGTGCGCAAAAGTCATCTCTGGGTTCAAGAATTGAAATTTCGATTCGCTTATCACGCAATCAATGGAAATGCGTGCAATGAGACCTTTCTTCTTGTCAGTCATGCGGAACACATGCCGAGGGAAAGAACGTTACCATTAGAACAAATTCAAGTAATTTCGTTTATTTTTTTCATTTTCATTCGATTTCAGGGCTTCAATATGCTCGGTGCTTTAATACTTCAAGTCATGGAGAGAAGCGAAATTGAGTCATTGAAAGTGATGATTTATCTTATCGAAGGCGTTCTACCGAAAGGTTATTTCAGCGGTTCAATGGGCGGTCTGCAGGCAGACATGGCAGTTTTTCGTGAAATTCTATCTACGCGACTACCCAAACTATCGAAACATTTGCAAAAACTCCAAGGCACCATTGGCGACAGTAATGTTCATTTGCTCATTTGATATTCCACTTATTTTGAATTAGTTATATGCTTAACGCGAACCAGTTTTAAACTCGTGCTTCTCCGAATTCTCATGTATTCTCATTCCACATTTATACACACGTACACATGTTCGCATGTGTATAAATAGATTCGATGGATCCACCGCTGATAAATGTATTCACCATGCAATGGTTCTTGACACTTTTCTGTACATGTTTGCCGAAAAGTTGTGTGCTGCGCGTGTGGGATTTGGTTTTGATTGAGGGAAGTGACATTTTATTACGAACCGCACTTGCGATTTGGGCCTCGATATCCGAGTAAGTTTAAAAATACATCGATTGGCGTGTGTTTGAACACACGATGAATACCATCAATTAAAAAAAAAATACAATATTCGACCCTTGTGTGTATGTATGTGCGCGTGGAGTTATCTCGGTGTCTTTTCCTCTTGTTATATTAGGCGCATCATGGCGATTAAATCAGCCGACGAATTTTACTGTAAAATGGGCACATTATCGGGTGAATTGCTGAATGGCCATTTATTCGATTCGAATGGTTTGATTCAGCGGATCGTTGACCTGGGACCCATAGCCGATCTGCAAAAAATGCGAGAAAAGCATCTATTCAATGTGACGCCTTGGAAAAACCGCAAAGGAATGAGGTAAAGCAAATAAAACATTTTTTCACTCTCTTTCTCTCTCTTTTTCTCTTGCTTTTGCGAGAGGGAATAGCTGTGTTTCTATGCGAGAAGTTTTTTTTTTCTTGGAATGAATGTTCCTTTTTGAAAAGGAGATTCTTTTCCTTGAAAAACATTTTATTCACCAGAAAATTGGCTTTTCATTTATGAAATGGAATTTATTAAAGGAGGAGAAAAATGAATAAAAAACCCATCAAATTGCTTGTGCTTTATTTTTTATCTACCCTAGAATTTTCTACTCTGATGAAGATTCGGATGAAGAAAATTGGAAAATGTTAACGGGCAACCGGAAAACGAATACAGCCACGAATCGCAATCAAATACCCGACACACGTGAACGTATAGCTTTAGATATTTCACTGTTAAAAAAGCAATATTCCAAAATACGTGAACGACAACGTCAAGCAAATCTAACGAATACGACCAAACAACCGGTGAACTCGACAATAAGTAACACGAAACCGTCGAACATTAATCAATATTTAATAGGCAGAAATGCGATCGTAAGCAACAAAAAGCGGCACGGACCACCGGCCGGTTCCATTCCACCAGCTCGTACAGCGTTTCCAATGTCCGCTACAAATAAATACCAGCAAAAGCGTTTACGAAACGCAACCATTGACAATGCAAGTACGTCGGCAATGAAAATTCATAGCGATGACAATTCGAATGTGCAGAAAAAGAAAGCGTTTGCGCGGCCACGAAGCGAATCATCATCGTACAGTGAGGATAGTGACAAAGGAAGTGAAGATGAGCTGGATAATCGAATATCTGTGGGATCGAGCAGTTCCAGTACGAGTTTGTGTGATGACGAATTCGTCGGGAATGCATCGTCAATGGATGGCAGTCCAATGAAATCGCGATTGCATTCATCCGCTTCGGATGACAGTAAAAGCTCACTGACCAAAGACATGCTGGGCGTTGATGAATTTGACCAAACTTCGTATACTAGACTGGGGGCAATGGAATGTGATGACCAAAAGTCACTGAAACGAGACAGCAGCCAAGAAAGTGATGCAGCAAAATATGATATTTTACCAAATATCGATCGTGAAAACAATGACATTCACTTTGCCAACGATGATAAGAGGGAGAAAACGAATTTAGATCTTTTAAGTTTGCCACAGCGTGAACAAATCACCAGCACAAGTCAACTATCACCCATTGCAGATATTTCGAATATTTTAAGCACATCGACCATTAGCCCGTTGAAAACACCAACTTCTTATCTCTTGCACTCATATCCACTGTGTGAAATGCCCGGCACCGATGAAAACCAGGAGGATACGTCAGAAATTGATTTCAGCGTCAATACCGGAAGCAGCGACAAAGATTTCTTCAAGGTCAGCGATGAAGGTGTAACGAATGCCTATTTTGAACGGGTCAATCATGTTACGACCCTTAATGTGGATTCTAAATTTCCATTTTCGTTCATTGAAGACGCACCAGATACAAATCTGGAATCAAGACTATCGAGAAGTAGCCAGGAGGACGATGAAGAAGAAGATGAAATGTCATCGTTCAAATCGGAAGTACGTCGATTGAGCGATTCCTTTGAATCGGCCATTATTTCCATTGATCTAGCCAATGATGATGCTACCAAATCTAGTTCCAATTCAAACACAAACTCCGATGCCATCCTTAAAATGATTGAAGAAAACTCGAAAATTCTCGATCGAATCATGTGCAAAAATGCTCAAGCTACGGCACGCAATATAACGTCCCTTGATGATGATGATCATGATGATAAGCATGAAAATTGTGATGATATCGAATGTGAATATCAAGCCAAATCGGAATTGAAATCGGATTCAAAATCAGATTGTGTGATTGATTCAAAACATGAAATCAAATTGAATCCAAGTAAAGAAAGTGTTGAAATTGAGCCAAAGAAATCCGATTCAGTTGACGGCCAAACGGAATTTCCCAATGTTCCAAAAGTCGAAATCACTTCAGAAGATGATGACGCTTTGATTGAAAAGAAATTGAAAGATGAAATTATCAGTCCGGAAAAAGAAGCCAAAAGTCATGATGAGACAACGGAGACGAAAATTGACGATGACGATCATGTGTTTAAGTATGGCGATTTAAGTGATTGCATATCAAAGTATTTGGTCAGTACAAACGAAAAGTCTGAGAAGAGAATTCAATCGGAAAGTGAATCAATTGAATGTGGAACGGAGGAAACAGCGCCAAAAACCGAAAGTCTTGATCTACCGAAAACTTTGTCACTATTGACTCATCATGAAGGCAGCACAGAGGATATAAGGAACCTGTTGAAAGAGTCTCTTTTCGACTATAGTAGAAGCCCATCAGAGTCATTACCGGTTGACTCGAAATTGGAAAATGATTTGGAAACACTGTTGAAAATGTCGGCCGAGTTGCTGCGCGAAGGATTTCCGTTGGGCTCACCAGTCGATGAACCGGGTGAAAATTGGTCGATTGATGGGGAAGATCAACCAGAAGCTTGTGCCATTGAAACAAATTTAAGAATCGAAGTAGAAGCTGAGGAATCATCCGAGAGTAATCGAAATTCAACATTTTTAGATCCGGATGCATTGCAATTGGAGATGGAAAGTGTGGCTGGTGATATTTCGGCAACGATTTCATCGATTAAAAACACGATTAAGTCAATTGATTCATTGTGTCAAGATGATGATAGACGATCTCGCGAACGCACTGACAGAACATTGAACGACATCATCAAAGTGGTTGAAAAATTGGACGAAGAGAAAGACTATCGGAAAGTGCAAGAAACCAAATCGGATCCAGCTAAGCCGGCCAATTTGTCGACTGTTTTCGAACACAAGGCACGAAATGATTCAAACTCAAATGCAAGTAGCATAGATAGTCCACGAATGACAGCATCTTCACGAATTTCGCGTGATCGCAGTAGAATGACATCGCCACGTAGACGAAAAGACGATGATTTCGGTGAATATGAAAGCCGTGCACGACGTAACAAGTCACCATCGTCAAGTGTTTTATCGCAGAATCGATATTCGGCCGATTTTTCAAGTAAATTTAAATTCGAAGATTTCAGCAGTGGTAGCGAAAGTGGGTCCAAAAGTAAAATCGGCTCTCCATATAAAACGAACGAAAAGCTTGAAATTCGTCATACAACCGTTACGGCCACATTCTACGATCGATTTCTCAGCCAAAAATATGAACAACAACACAAAATGGATCGTTCACCTTCGTCCCCAGTCATCAATAAAGCATACTTGAATTCACTAAAAGCGACGCCCAGCTTAACCAGTTCATATCATAGTGGCGATAAATATCGACGTGATTCGAGATCAACATCGCCCACCTCTAGCTCCAGTCACAGCCGAATTGATTCATCCAGGTATATGCCAGCCGCACCAAAATCCGGTTACCTTCACCTGCCACAATTATCCGTCAGTTCAATCCATCGCGATCAATGTACGCGAAGCTGTGAAAACATTTTGTCGAATTTAAATTCCACATCCGAATTTGCCCAGAAATATTCATATCAAGCGAAAACCACGTCGGACATCTTTAGCAGCAGCAACATCGACAGCGACAAAATCCTAAAACGCCATTCAACTGGCACCTACTACCAAAATACATCCGCACTACCAATCAAACCGAAGAAGCCTTCTGAAATTGGAATCAAATTGGGACTCTACAAGCCAGAGTAAATACTACTAGAGAATAGACAGAGTTAATGAAATGATGGGGTTTTTAAATGTGTAAACTAACGAGAAATGGTATTGTTTGAAAATACTTTTCTTCCACTTTGATCTTATGCAAATTTTCTAGACATAATCGTTCGCTTAACTGTGCCGATTTCCAATGGAATTGACACAATTTTGTTTCCACTGGCAAAACAAAAACATTTCATTCTTTAGTGGTAAACATTAAACACAAATTTTCATACACACTAACTCACACACACACACACACACACACATACCAAAGACAATTTTTGTTCGAATCATAGTTTAGAATCTACAACTTTACTACATAAATTAAGAAACCTTCTTCCATTAAATATAAATTTCTTTTTTCTCAGTTTTTTTTTTCCGAACACAGAAAATGAAACAAATCATAACAAATTCAAATCGTTTAGTCACTCTATTTTGGAACATTTAAAAATAAAAAAAAAAAACAAACAAATGCTTTAGGATTTTGTGTAGATTAGTCTAATTTTTCGTGTTCAACGTGCTACTCAACCCAATTTGTCAAATGAATAGAAAAACAAACAGCTGGAAAATATGCAAAATGAATTTGTTCAAGTTAACAAAAATGTGCAACATCATCAATGACACACAAATAAAACTTAATGGAAGTAAAAATGAAATTGAAGACAGTTTTATTTATCTTATTTTTTTTAATGATTTTTTTCATGCTGAATTGAGGAGTTCCTTCATTTCATGGATTTGCAGCACATCTCAAAGGTATGTTTATCCTAATAAAACGATAACGGATCATACTTGTTTCGCCCTGAAAAAAAAACGAATACAATTTTCAAAAATCGTAACTATCAAACAAATCGAAAAATCTAGATTGCACTACGCCCATCAACATCGAATCGACGCTGTCGATAATGTCATTCAAAATTGCCCGATCGATGTGCGTTGCCTGCTGTACAACAACATTCTTTCGAATAAGCGAACAATTGAGTGGAGAACGTTTAAAAGTAAGAGTGAATTTGTTTGGCCAAATTTCGACGCAATTCTAGCTAAAAAAATTCTCTTCAAATTGATCGAACCAAAACCTTTCCAATGAAACAAAAATATTCCAAATAAAACTCGTCGAAATTGTTTTTCTGTTTATTTAAATTTTATTCATAGCTTTTTGTATATGTTTAATAAGTTTGTAATTTGGTATAATTACATAATATATCTCAGTAATGTCAATGATAGAACCATTTCATGAATTCTTCAAAAATTATTACTTTTTGTGTCGCTTATAGTTTTTGATAAGGTACACAGAATGTGTGTGTGTGTGTGTGTGTGTGTATGTTTGTCTTTCGTTATTGTTGAATTGAATTGTAACCATAATGATGAAGAGAGGAAATGTTTGTCAACGAAATATTTCTACTTGAATAGTGATGTTTATGTGAATGGTTTGCATGTTGTTGTGAGTTTGTGTCTCTATTTTGTTGTTCCATAGTATTTAAGTATGTGCACTTTGTGTTTGTGTGCAATCAATCTAACATCTATTCTATTTGCCATCCTAAACAAGTGTGTGGCGTGTATATTTTCCTTCTTGTGATTGATGTTGTTTATTCGTTATGGAGCTCTTAATGTCATGAAATATATCGTTCTGATTTGGGTTCGTTTCATTTTGTAAAATGTCATGATTTATTGTTTTATACATAATTTTAAGTTTAATTTTAATTTTTTTTTTTTTGGTTTCATTGATTAAATTATTTATTCAAGTTTGTTGTTTCAATTTGATCTGAACAAGCAACGTAAGCAACGTAAGAGCGATATCAAAGAAAAAGTTGCAACGAAAATATTATTTTGAAAAAGAAATTTTCAACGACTGGAAAAATTATTTCGATATGCAAAGCATCAGAAAATGTGATTAACACACATTATGTGAATATCAAAGGCGGCTCTGGCGATCAATAGATTGCCGAAGGCGACGTTAATTGCTTTTCAAAATTTCTCACACTCCAAACAGGCTTCGTGAATTGTTCACCTCATTGTAATATTTGTTTTATTTTCTGTAACTCCTTACGCTAAAAGTATGTATGTATGAGACATTCGAATCGGAAAATCAGCTAAGATGGTGGTAGTGGCGAACGAATCGAAGACAAAAACAATGGAAACAATTGGCCGCTGGAGAAATTCGATTTTGGAAAAAACGCTTGTAATTTTCGTTTCAGGAAAGAATGGTAAGGAATTTGTATTGTTCGAGTATTGTAAAACGCATCAAATGGAAATAAAAATATCAACAAACTAAACCTAAACATAAACCTGATGACAATTATTTAACATTTCATTAATAATTTAAGAATTTAACCATTTAATACTTTGTATTCTTATTTTTTTTCATTTAACAATAAATATCGGTGTACGGTTCTTAATGTCTATCTAATAGATTTTACCATATTAATTTGCTACGCATTTTATTTTGAATAGTTTAATTTGTTTGTATTTTAATATTTTATTTGTTGTAAATCGATCAACCTTTGATCGTGTCCAGAGGCTTGACTCTTGGTCGGTGTTCTTTTCTTTTATTCTTCATATTTTAATTGTTTTGCAATTTGTTTTAAAATATGTGTATTCACTATATATTATTTAAAAACTTCTCATATTTTCTCATCATATTGTCATTTTCGATATTCATTTTTTTTTCTTCTTATTTTCTTTGTTATTTAAACATTATGTGTTTATATGAGTTGCATAGTGGTACACTTATTTCAAATAAGTTATAAGTTATTTGTGTAAAGTTTTCTTTTTATCTTGTTCGAAAATATTGAAAGTCTCTAACGAATTGAATTCAAATCGCGAATTAAGAGATGTGACAGAGATAGAGATAGATATAGAATACATAGTACATGAGAAACATCAAGTTATCAATGTCAAAAATGAAAACGGTAAAATAGAGAGATTGAGACAAGAATTTGGATAGATTTTCTTTGAACAATACTTATTTAGCATAATAATGTACGCAGCAAATAGTAGTAAACATTTAACCAAACATGTGTTTTAAGATTGCTGAGCATCTCAGCATTTCGTAAGGCACGGATATATCCGAGCATATCGACGACGCATACTGTATAATACAGTGGCGTGTGTTGCTACGTGCAGCCGCAACGACTCGACCGGAATGTGTATGTTGTTGCTGCGTGCAGCCCATCAACTGAACACACTTCGGTTGAGTATATTCAGCATTATTTCAGCAATCTTAAAACACATGTTTGCATTTAACTGATTGGTGTTAATCTGGTATGTTGAGTGACTAGGGGGAAGGGAAGGAACAATGTGTGTTAATTTTTTGGAAATATCACGATAATCGTCTTTTTCTCAATTTCCATTGAATCAATGATACGGCATTGATTCTCTCATCCTCTGCATCGAAATGCCAGGCCAAGAGCCAACCTTCCATTTCCGAATTTCTTCATCTCTATCAACTTTTCACCAGAAGCATTCAAAACCAAAGATAATCATACAATATTATAATAGTTGCGTTTCACTTTTGGTTATCAAATATGTTGAGATTTTTGTTTCATCTGTTCTAGCGTTATGATTAATAATATCATAAAGTTTATTATTTGTTTTTAATAATATTCCTTGTTCAATGTCCTAATAAATAATTTGCATTTTTTTTTTTGAAATGGTTACTTTGTGTATTTGTCAATTGATTTTTTTTAAACAAATAAACAGAAGAGAAAAAGTATTAAATTTAGCACTGAAATGTTCTATGAAACCAAGAAACTTCAGAGGCGTTCTAAGTTTATGATGCATCAAGTAGTAACCGAATTGGCTTTTCTTGCATAGCAAATGAATCGTTTAAATGCTAACAAATTACTTGCAAAATGAATTCGATAACAAATAAAATGCTTAAAAACTAAATAGATTTTAATTCAAACTGTCTGTTTCAAATGCTTATTTCAAATCGTAGTCGTCATCGTCGTCGAACAATTTGCTGCCGCTGATGTATGATGATGAGAAATTTGCGGTGTCAGAGGTTGACGATGTGCTTGTTTTGACTGGCGAATCATAATCTTGGAATGCTGCATTATTGATGCCTTCATAGATCCGATAGGATGTGTTGACCCGGGGATCGTTGGCAAAATCGCCAGCGTTGTCCGAAGAAACGCTCAAACTGCGATTAAACGATGACACATTTCGACCCGATTCATAAATTGAATTCGATGCATCGACTGTGTTTGAGCTATTGCTGCCAAATTGCGTACGCTTTGATAGCAAATCGGGAACATCGTTTGATCCAAAAATTATCTCTGAATCGCTCATTGAACCCGTGGAATATTTTGAGGTTTCGAAGGCATACTTTGCCGCATTGGCGCGTTGACTAGATGAAACGGTTTTCGATTTCGTTGTGTCTGGCTGCTTCTTGCTGCAATCACTTGAAGTGACGCTATATTCTGATTTTGTCAGATCACTTCCGGTGATATAGGATGATGATGTGGTGCTAATGCTGCTGCCAAGTACCGAGGTGGTACTTTTCACACTGTCACTTGAGTACAAATCGGAGCTGGTGGTCGTTATTCCATAATGACTTGCCGACTGACTTGGAACTCCTTGATATTTATCAAAACGACTTTTCGTTAAATCATCCAATGTCGAGCCACTTGCACTGCTCGAATATGACGATGGAGTCACTGAACTCTCTATTGGTTTCGATGCCGTTGTTTCGACGGCGGATGCAATTGCTGACACTTGCTTATTTTTATCAAATGGATTAATACGTTCCGATGGGTTTAACGTACTTGTTTGGAATTTGCTGTAGCTTGCGCTAACCTGTGTTGGCCCCATCGAGGCGCTAAAAACGTTGGAAGAACCTAAAGATGCATTTGTATCGATCGTTGTTGCTGTTGCCGTTGTTGTTTTACTGTCCAAATTCGACGTTAAATCAGTTTTAACCAAATTATTGCTATTTGAAATGGTGGCGGCGGTTGTGTTGGTTTGATCATATTTGAATACACTGCTTGATGATGTGGTTGATGTGATTGATGAAGGGGTTTGATTTTGTGACTGAGCTGATACCGATGTTACTGAACTGGTATCGCTAGTCCTTCCACGTTTTTTGCCAGCTAATTCCTACATGTCACCGAATATACCAGCGAAAGTCTTACGCAAATTTTTCATTGTATCTTCAGCATCTTCGACTACCGAGCTTTGACTTTGGGGCGGTGCACGCGATGATGTCTTCGAGCCAGTTGATGTTTGAGAGGCTACGAATGAAAACGGGATTTTTTTTTTCATTTAGTGATCAATCATTTTTTTTAAGACTTATCACTTTTACCCTTCTTTCACTTTATAGCTTACCTGCTGAATCGCGTCGTCCAACACTTGCCAAAGTCGGTGCACGTTCAGTTGGTTGCTCTGGTAAATCAGAAGATACGCTGCTCAAACTGCCATGACGACCAATTGAGCCTGGCCCAGGAGTGGTTCGCTCCGGGATCGGAGGAGGTGCTCCACTAATAGACGATCCACGAGAGTAGCTCGCAGTCGGCGGAACAGCCGGAGCATTCTCATCAGATGGGCTACCACGCGACGATACAGATGAACGTTGAGGTACTTTTCCGGCCATTGATGGACGGCAAACATTCTGGAACAAGGGAAATCAATCAGTTTTAATAGGTTTCGAGTTTGTCTTCTTCATTCAGAGATTTTTTTTTCATCTTCAGATTTTTGATGATTCTTGAAGAATTAAAGATTCTTAAATTTCGTTTATTCATTTCTTATTAGAAAAACTGAAAATGAATTATAAATTCTCTACACAAAAACGTGTTGGAAAGAAATGATTAGCCAACTCAAAATTAGGTTTTTTTTTTAAACCAACCTGCATGCGTGTGACGACAAGATCGGCAATATGACGACGATCGTCTTCTTGTGTATCGCCCATTAAAGTCAATGTACTATCACAAGCCGACAAAATGTACTCCTTTCCATCTTTTGCAACGACAATCGATAGACCGCACACTTCCATACCGTCAAACTGCTCCGAAACCTGTAACACAAATCATGGCACATAATTACTATAAATCCAAATACATTCGAAAGTCTCACAATAAACCGCAGTTAAATGTAGCAAATAAAATATTTGATCAATTACTAATAATAATAATCGACTAGAAAATGAATTGACTGCTTCGAATGAATATGTATGAATGCAATCTGGTGCAGTACAATAAATATTATGTTTGACGTCGAAATGATTGTCTGTGCAAATTGTTCCGGGATTGTTAGTTAAATAAGTTATGCACTTGGTTTTTCATCGGTTCAACATTTATGCAAATGGATTCAACAGAACATTGTCAGATGCGTTGGAATTAATTAAACGGCAAATCTAAACCAATTGCAGCGTGTTCATGTTTCATGAATTGATGACCGAATCTTCTAAGTAAAGGTCGCAATTTCCCACTCAATACTGTCATAATAATTGATTAATTTATCCGTCGCACTGTTCGCCAATTGTCATGCAACAAACTGAATAAATTCATGCGAACCCAAGTCAATTTCGTTAGAATAATATTTATCGAATTTGAAGTGACGCGATCTGATTCCCGGTAAAACACACGACCGGAGACTGAACCACCGTCAGAGTGAACGCATTTGTTAAAGTGACATCATATGTGTTGTTCATTGAGTGTGGCGCATCTAATTTGCATTTTATTGCAATTGATATGGTCGCAAAAAGAAACAGAACGAACGAACAGTGTCAAAGTTCTGTTGTGAAATCACGAACGCAATTTGCTTTGTGCACATAATCCGTCGTTCCATTTCTTTGTACCTTCCATCGGAGAAAATCAAAGAAACTTTCGATTCATTGAAATGCATCACACACTCTTCTTGAAAAAATTGATTCGCAGACAATTGAATTTGATGACATCATCAAAATGTGTCCGTGCACTTCATTTATTTGCTGCGTTTTTTTTCTTCTGTTTCTCCGTTTTGCATTGACAAAATGCATTGACTTTGGTGCATGCACACGTAATTCGTTCGACGTGCATACTAATGTAACACTTAATCCGAGCGCCTTTCGTTCGAATTTGGAATTTCTATGTTTGCATTTGACTCGATATGGCAAAATGAACATGGTAATGCAATTTCGTACTAATCGAACTCATCACTTGTCTGTGTAAATTGTAAATGCGTGTTCGTGCCATAGACAGTGTATGCGCGCTACGCGCTCGCTTTGACTACGTCATCAAATATATTTCTGTGTCGATTTACTCATTGGCCAATTGACGAAGGAATGACATCATTCGATTTGAAGTGCGCTCGTGAACGACAGTCAAATGCCGCTTCGGCTGAAGGAATGCGAGAAATATGCGTACGCCATTTAGCGTAACGCAAATGAATATATCGAGTTGAGTACAAATGAATTCTTGTTGCACCCATGCCGAACAAAGAATGTGCGGAAAGAGATGACGATCAGTGTTTTAAATTGCCGTTGAAATGTTCATTAATGCACACATTTGGCTGTGTGTTGACTTACGTCGTTGATCCAACTCTTGTATTTTTCGGTCATTGCGATTTGTTCCAGCTGTAAAACGAAAGAAATGAGAGAAAGAAAATTACAAGTGTGAATGCAAATGTGTTGAAAGCACGATGAAAATATGCAGCAAATAAATTACCATTGCCGATCCTTGATTGGTTTTCCAATTGCCCGAGATCGATTTGCGCCTGTGAAATGAAAAAATTCAATTGCATCGTTAAATAAAAATCAATTACTTCAATGGTACACAAATCATTACTGAAAATCGCAAGAGACTGAACGAAAATCACAGCAGAGGAAAAATCGAGAGAGAAGGAGAGCAAGAAACATGTTGGTTCCGTATAAGTTTCTCATCAATTACTTACATGAATGACTTGTAGTTGTTGCCAATTTTTTGGACGTGAACATCGAATTTGGCATCGATGAACGGTTCCAATGTGCAGTAGCATTGAATGTCAGCGAGTCCAGATCCATTCAATAAACCAGCTGCTTCTTGCAATGAATTTTGATCAATAATTTTAGCCGTTGCAGTACCGCCGTGACAGTGGCCAGCCTTCAATACATACGGATATTTCTGCTGCGAAAATTGCTGCGCGAACTGTAAACGAGAGAAAGAGAAAAATTGAAATTTTATTAGATTTCTCTTTATGTTTTTTTTACGTGGTTTTTTCTACTCCGTTGAAATTGGATTGACATTGATGAACCATTCGCATGTATAATTAGATTGCGTTGATGTTTTCACGAGCTAACGAAATAAGCGTAAACAAATATGATTACTCAAAAAAATACCAAATGATTTATGTCTATTTTTAACGTGATCGTATTTGAGCGGGTGGTCGACAAAAAAACGGTGAAACAAAAAACGAAGGAGAGAAAACGACAAAATGGCAAATGAACCTGATTCATATACCCATTAATCACAGCGAATATGCGATACGTAAAAATTGGTGCGAAAACGTGAAATTCAGTTATGAATGCGCAATTTTGCGTTGACTTCTATACAAATGGATTGAAATATGTGTGCATTGTGCATCGGCGGTGCAGGGAGAGAGAGAGAGAGAGAGAGAGAGAGAGACACTTTGCGAATTTTCCAGAGCAAAATTTGCATGCAAAATATGTTCATTTGTTCACGAAACTAGAATACTTAATGGCTTACTCATCGATCAAGTGGATTGTTTTCCCATTTTCCCAATCTGATGAAACTCATTGAAAATCTCACTCTCTCTCTCTCTCGATGCTCTCTTAAAATGTTTGATGCTATTTTGAATGATTTTCGCGGAAGCGCTATTTTCATACGTCGAATTGTTTACATTCTTATGAAAGTTTTGAGAATTATAAAAGAATCCGGCTTGAGCCATTCAGATTATTCATTGCCAAACGATTTTTTAGGCGAAACAATTCAAATACACGTGCTTTGGTGAATCAGCTGAAGACAACTTTTGTCATCATAAAAGATTCTCAAAATACATTATTGTTTATGTCTCATTGAGAAATAGCCAGAAATTTTTGTCCCATCGAAACAGAAGAACGCTCAATAATTTTTATCACGAATGACATAACTAAGAAGAACGCTTATACGAGCTCTTCCAAGAACATACTCTTAACGTTTTCAAATTGTTGGTAGAAATACAACGAAGCAATCTGAGTGAATATTTCCACTCGAAGCATCAAAATTTCTAAAAAATTCCGCATGAATTCCACGTATTCACAGCAAAGAAGTCGGGCTTATGTCATGCGAATCACACGCTCACTCGAAAAATTCTCGTTTTCATCTATTTACATTTAATTAAAATGCATGTCATTTGAAAAAGATTGAGCGGGAATGAGCGAGAGAAAGAGATTCACCGCACGAATCCATCGTATGACGTGAGCAGAAAAGGCACACGAATAATCTTATGGATGTATGAAGTCTCGACAAAACGACTAATATGACACCGGTAAATTATGGTCAGGCTGACGATGGCAGTCGAACAATGGGCAATTATTATTCGTTGTGTAACATTTACGAGTGTTTTTATGCCAAAAACAGACAGTTCTTCGCAGCACACATACAGCGACTCGAATTGCAATAATGTATGCATTATTTTGCAATAAATTGAGTTGCCGTGTGCAGACTCGATTGGGCCCATTATCAGTAACCATTTGTAATACGGAGATTTATAGACATGTGAGAATTAATGCGTTTTCGATATGCAAAATATACACTCTTCGATGTTCGGTAAATGTGCTTCGATGCACTACCACCAAAGCGACAATAGCTCTAGCAGACAAAGCACTCACAGGGCATTATTTCCGGGCAAAGTCTTGGATTTTTTTTTTCAAATGGAACAAAAATGCTTTCAGTCTTTAAGCCATATTTTCCCCGTTAAAACTTATTAATTCGATGGAAAAATCGATTCATTTTTCTCCGTCGGATTTTGAAAACAGTCTGAAGATTTTTCGGTCTCTATGAATAGACTGTGTTCCACACGAAACAATCATAAACAAAAAATTTTCATGAAAAATGAATATATTTGAAAATGGAATGGCAACTTGTATGGCTGCCAAAAAAGTGTTTTCAATAAGAATAACCCGGCTGAGGTCTGAATATGAACTGGTAGAAATGGAAAGATAAACAGAGTCGAAAATGTCGTTGATTGATACGGAATATTACCTTTAAGCCATTTTCAGAGTTCATTTTGTTGCGTGTGATAGATTAAATTGACCGACACCGAAATGAGACCGCATATAAAAATGCTTTTTAGACGAGAACACGAGAATGAGTTGTGTGCATTCGATTTACGGTGCGCGATTTCATATATACAAATCCACTCCTACGCAACCCACTCACGAATAATCACATCAAATCCGAGAATTAAGTCGTAAAATTGAATCAACTAAACAGACACAGATTGAGAGTGTGCGGCCGATAACAGCTAAAATGTCACCGAACACACGAATAACAGAGATGCTATCACGTCTAACTTACTTTTGGATGAAAAGAGTGGAAAAAAGGCGATATTTTCTAAAGTGGCATTTATCACAAGCCCAGTAATTAAAAGTTATTAATATCCATTTGCATATTCACGCGCGCGCTTGATATGGCAATAATAAATCGATTAAATCCATCACTTGCTCGTGTTCATATAATGTCGAAGTTGATGGATTTAAAAGCGGTCAAAGTTAACACCACCATCGATGCTCTCCATCGCTTGCCCGATGACAACGTGAGATTTAACGAAAGTAAAACAAAACGCGCACACCGACAGCACATACGCATAAACAAAATGAACGAATTGGAAAAAAAGGGGAGACGTTTTTGAATTATGAATGATCGCATCCGACTCATTCAAGTAGTAAAAATAAAAATGACTCGAGCAAAACAGAAACGAGGAAGAGAGTGAGAACTGCTTTTTTTTCCCTTCTGTTTTGTTCAGTGCGGCTGCGAAATTGAGATGGATTTGAATGTGGCGCGCGGTGAGTGTACGTGCATTGAGACTTGAGACACACTCTCTTTTTTTATTTCTTCTTCGTTCGCCTCTCTCATTCTTCTCTCTATCTCTCCTGAGGCAAAGCGAAAGAACGACACGCGGTGTGCACGAAGCGTATATGTAGCGCGCTCCTGAGACGTTAACGTTTGCGCGTAAAAGCCTTTTCATATAAAACTAAAAATCACCGCAACACAAGCAGCTAGTTCGATTTAAGCCAGCACAGCGATCGTTACAAAGTGAGGGCCAAACGCGAGCAAACGCATTACGACAGCGAAATAAAAAAAAATATCAACAAATTTGCTTGATAAAATACGTTTTAATTTATTGAATGTGGCGCAAATGAAACGAAATTCACGGAGAATCGTGTAATAAACTAAAATCGAATGTGTACAGTGCGATAATTCGTAACCTTTTTGATATTCGGCGAATTTTTGCGAAAGCCACCAACTTGATAAAAAGTTGTTTGCATCGAAACAGTGCTGATAAAGTGGAAAAATACAATTGACAAACAATTCGTTGAAAACGCTGAATTCATATTTATGTTCAATACAAAATAAAACTGTTTTGTTTCTTGTTTCCTCTGCAATTTTGTGGGAAAAGTGTCATTTCATGTAGCATTACTGAGAATTAAGCCCGGAAATTTGTGAAATCAAATCCAGAAAACTTGTTGTATGCTGACACTCTGTATTTTGAGACCAAGTAAAGTGCTAACGAAAAGTATTACAGTTACTGAGCCGAATCAACGTTGCAACGGCCTGTGAAACGGATTTTCTTTCACACACACACACAAACACACACTCACGCGCACATAGACTCCACATTTTGTTTTTATCTGATTAGAAACGAAAAGATCGACCGAAAACAACAAGTGTCTTTGTACAAGGGAATTGAAATAGACGAAAAAACAAAAATTTGTGAGTAATTTACACAATTACCGAGCATGTTCAAACAATTAAAGTGATGCGGTATTTGGGTTTCAGTATTTATCGATCAATAAACACCATTTTAACCATTTCATTTACGCTTGATTTCAATCGTTTATCGCCACAAATTTTGAAAGATTGGATGCGGGATATGAATGATAATTTCGGCTGCAATATTCTGTCGCATCTCATTCGGAAATGTATTTTTAAACGATTTATCGTTTCTCGTTCCTTTGTGCACATTGGCCTATAAGCCAAGTGTACTAGACGCGAGCTGAAAATGAGCGCGCGTAAACTTTGTTCGAATGATCTCGAATGACCCCCATTAAAACGGCATTTCTTGCATACTCGCGCACAAAAAGATTTTTTTCAGTGTTTTTTTATGACTGAATACACGATCCAAACGGTGTGTGAACCATTTGCAATTATGAAGAAAAAAAACTATAATGAAAATTTATTGGTATTTGTTTTAAATAGCTACTGGCACTGCAAATGATTCGATCAGTCTCTCGATTTCTGTGCAAGGCAAACCCAATTTGCATTTAATAAAATGCAACATTTATCTCATTTTCTCAACATTGTCGTGGCATATTGTGCGCGCTGCTAGCGATATGAACAACTAGAATAAGTTTAAATGAGATCTGATATGTAAAACTTGATTCGAACAATTTCCATTCAAATGAGCAACAAATAAGTGGTTGAAAAGTAGATGCAGCGCACAAAATAACTAAAATTTATTTCGTTGCCATTTTCACGAAAAACTTGTAGCTCTTTGCAAAAATTTACATTTCAACTATGAATTTATGAACGATATGGCGAATTGTTTTTTTTTTTGGAACAGCAGTACAAACCCGTGAAACTTGCTGAATGTGGTATAATCGAATGCATATTCGTCTTTATTTCTTCGACTCAGAAGGTGCATGATCGAATGCAATGAGCGAATTCAATTGCAGTTTAACTGTCATGTTCAATTCTGAATTACGGTTTCTAAACGGCGATATAAAACCAAAGTAATAAAGAAATACGATTTAGATTAAGACGGGAGTCTGTATAAAATCAGTTTATTGTTGTCTATATATCAACATCAATAGCACGATTTTATTAGATCGGCAAAATTTATAGAATAAGCGCCGTCATTCGATTACCTGCAAATTTATATTAGCGATTGATGTAAAACATACTCTGATTTCGATCAGTCTGCTGTTTGTGTGTGCCTTGTAATTTATCAACTTGACATCGCAACAGCAACGGAGCAACAACAAATAAAAAAAAAGTCACACTAATCAAATGAAGATTGATGTGAAAAATTCGACCGAATAATTCAATTACACGACACAAACGAATGTCAACAAAAGGAAACACGCACCGCAATTTTTCCAACAACTCAACAGAGAAATAGAAAGAATGCAGGTCAAAACTCGTTGACAGACGAGACGTAGAAAAGTTGTTTATAAGTTAAGTTGTTGTGATTGGTGTGTTTGGGAGGTTTTTCTTTTAGTTTAGCCAGTTCGTTATTTTCTTCTTCATCGCCATCATCGCCATCATCGCCGTTGTAGTCATGAGTTGGCATTCACAGAAGATTCGTGAATTTAGCGGCACAACGAATTTCAAAGTAAATTAGACATTCGCCGAGTGTAACAGCCATATTTCACGTATTTTGCATTTTCGGCTTGATCAAATATTCAAATCTGGTATTTAATGATAATGTATAGGCTATAGACATAGGCATTTTTATGAGTGACTTTGACAGGCGTGATGAGAATTTTTGAACAGACTCATCATTCGCATTTTGGGTGTTTTCCCCTCTCTTCTCGAATACATATTCGAAATGTGAATTTGGAATATAGAAGACATGTGTTGATGGGATTCATAAGTCCAATTTGGTATCGGTGTTGAATCAACATTGTTGATTGATCGAATGTTGATCCTTTGTTCTCATTTTTCTACATTAGGTGCACAGTGAATGTACTCATTTCTACCGTTCTGTCGACCTAAAAATTGCCCATAAGTCACGAATATTTGCTCCTTTAAATCCATCCTCATTCACAATCTATTCAAAATGTTACGTGACAAAATGTCAGCGAACAAGCATTGAGGTATAACGATGAAACGGCTTCATTGTTTTGGTATGGCGCGGTGAACGAACAAGAAATGCTCGAAAAATCACGAAATCACCGCTCTTTTGGTGTTTGGTTTTCGTTGTTATTGATGCTCTTATTTTTGTCATGTTGTTCATTTCGTGGATTCCCCTGTCGAAGTGCACGCATTCGGATCGCTAGTTCGATGTTCATTCACCGTTTTCAACCGATATCACTACATCCGATCGAAAAACGAAAAAGGTCACATCAATTCACCGAAATGCGAAAGAAAGTCGTGGGAATTTTCGATTAACATACGTTTTGTGGGTTTCGCTTTATGATAATTTGGTTTTCTTTTGGTGTATTTTTCGTTTTTTTTTCTGTTGTTCTGAATGCGCCCGCATGCATTCCGTGAAATGTGATTCCCAAAGATTCACTCCGAAACACTATCGCGAGCGTGAGTGAGTTCTTCTCTTTTCGTCTCATTCGTGAGCCAGCATTTTTCAACGGAACAATGGTTGAATTCAGACCAAATTTTATCGCACACTGAAAAGAATAGACTCGTATATTTTGTTGGCCTTTTTTTTATAGCTATGCCGTGTTGTCGGTACTTGTTTCCGTGTTACATTCGTCTCGTTTTTCTCAACTGCCATTTCATACTCATTCACAATTTCTACCTCTTGATACTCAACGACCAGCCGACACTGAATGACAGTTGATTTTATTTGTGCTTTGCTTTGTAAGTGTGTGTGTGTGTTTACTGATTGGTGACCCAGTTATATGCATAAATTGCAATAAAACAAACATTTTTATTGCAAGTACTTGATAGTATTACAAGTCGGCACAAAACTCTGAACTGTTAGTTAGTGAGCACACACATAGCCTTTAATTAAAACAATGAGCATGGAAACCATACAAAAGTACTGACTGAGAAAACACCAAAATGCACTAAATATATGTGTCTAGCTTTTCGAAATGAATTTCCTTCGTTTTCATTTAATGTGATGCGGCTACTGCATAAAGTTCTTAGTGCACTTAATCTCGTGCGCTCGTGTCGGGTGTGTGTATGCATGCGCGCGCTCGACTCGTTGCACTTGAGATTATTTTATGCACAAAAGTGAGTTAAACTCGCTGAACTATTATGTCGGGTCGGTCGGCTGCTCCTCAAGACTACGAATTATGAATATGACTTTTTGATTTTCACGCTTTCTATAACTGCCGCCACCGTCGCCGCTGCCGCTCTTTCATTAATTCATTATAAATTTTACAGCTACGATCAAACGACACACTAACGCAAATATTTTCCTTAGAGATTATCCATTTCTAACTTACGTGCACATCAACATCGTTTATTTTCCATTATTCTTGAAAATTAACTGCAATTACATTTCTTAGAAAGACTCTTTGAGTCGGCTCGAGTGCAAAAAAATTTACATTACAAATAGAGCAATTCTTATCTATTTCAATTAGATAGTGTTTGGTTTTGATGCTGACATCATTTCTGCAATTTACGCAAAGCCTAGTGGAATTGAGCGAGAAAGAAAAAGAGTTTCGTTGAATGAATTTCATTAAAATACACTCGTTGCATCGAGGATACATTCGAGCGGATTACTTTACGAGTTTCATCGAAAGCAGTTTTAATTTATGATAGTGCCATTTTATGGTTATACATTCGCTAATGACGCCATTGCGAGGAACGGTAGGAAACGAAAATTGGCGCAATGATGTTCGGTAGCTTTTTGCTCATAAAATAATGACGTCTTTTCAGGATAGTGAATTGAACTGCTTGCAAAAATCCATATACTTTTCCAATATAGCGGTGTAAATTATCATTTATGCTCCTTAGATTGACAATATGAAAATATTTTCACGATGTTTTCTTTGTCAGCGTATAACTTTTTGTGTCTGTTATTAAACTCGTAAAAATTTACCGCAAAATGCTTCACTGAAAATAATACTTGGTATGAGTGTGTCGAAGCAAAGAGCAAACAAATTGCAAACACTCTAGAAAATTATGGTATTCACATGGGTATAAATGATATCAAAACACACTCGTCTATGAATATCTTAGCGAATATGTAAAACACATGATATCGCTTCGCTCTCTCTCCGCTCTATCTGATTGCATACAGCCAAAGACACAATCGAAAGAGACTCGAAATATTCTGCGGTATACAATAACATGACGTCAAACAACTGCACCAACAAATCCGATCACATTTCCCAGCAACGTTTGCGTACCGGTTTTGAAATCATTTTACTTTCTAAGCGTGTGTTTGTTGTCGCTTTTTTTTTATTCGCGGTTCGTCTACCGCGCTCGCATGTACCAAAGGGTTTTTCCTCAACAAATTGCTACATTTTATGAAAACTCATTTTGAGTAGACGTAAGAAAATGTATGAAATAAATATTGATGTCGAAATGGTAGTAGACAGTTAAATCGGAAAAGCCATTATTTGAGTGGCAATATTTCAAAACAAACCAGAGTAATCGAGTCATACAGCATGCGAGAGAGAGAGAGATATAGTGGGGATTCTAACGTCGTATTATCACTACTACCGGAAAATATAGAGCAAAGCAACTAGCAACTAGCAGCCAACAGCTGGCTGTATGTCATTTTCGCTGTGTTGCCATAAATTTCGCAATTGATCCATTTCTCATTTCGTTGCTTTCGAGCTGCAAGAGAGCGAGAGAAAGAAAGAGAGAGAGAGCTCCGAGTCGACATACGAACGCTTTTGACCCAATGTCAATACAAACTATTTTTACAGCATCGATTACGGGCTCAGCACTGACATAAAACCTGACAAAACGATAAAAACAACAAACAAACCCATCTGAAATCCACACCGTTTCACATTTGCGCTAAAAATGACAAAGTTACCCAAATCGCAACGATGTCAGAACACATATATCGA